GGCCGAGGGCCGGCCGGGGAGCCGGCACGATTGCGGACGAGGGCTGAGTTGGGAATGGAGTGGAGATGATGCAGGATGGAGGGCAGCGAAGGAAGGGGAGGGGGCAGGGGAAATGGAGGAGTGGCTGGGAATCGGTGAGTAGCGGCAGGAAGGGATGGGGAGGCTGGTGGAGCTGCAGAAGACCAGAATGAGCGGGAAGGTGAGCAGTCGGGAAGAAATGCCCGGGAGCTGGCGGGTTCGGCGAGGGTGTCCATTAGGGGAACTGGCCACTTGACATGTCCTTTGAGCTCAGGTTCCTGATGTGTCTGTCACCCGTTTTTTCTGGCGTTGGGTGGGAAAGCGAAAGCATCCCCTGCCTCGGTTGCTAGCTTGACCGCCTTCACAGGCCCAAGCACGCAGCGGACTGCCGTTCATCCCTGTTAGGGCCATGGCCTTGATGCATCGTCTTCAGGGAGTTTAGAGGGGCACTGTGACACCCCGCCTTTCTTCAGGATCAGATGTTAGCAGTTACCCCCGAAAACAAGGTGTCCCCTTGCCTTTCAGTTCAAGGTAAAGCCGTCGTTGATTCACATTTCCCTTTTCTGTACTGACTTTCCATCTTGCAAATCTCCAAAGCCGGGGGGGATGCTGGCTGTACCAGAGCTGTAAGTGAGGGGCTATGCTTGAGGAGGTAATGCTCCCTACAGCAGCATGTTCCAGCTCTTCCTCCACATGATGGTGGGTTAGACATGGAGAGCCGCCTCCAACCTTGTGTACTCAGGTCGGTAAACACCAGGGAGTGGAGGAGGGGGACTTTCTTGAAATATCTAGTGTGAAGGATGTTTTCACTTGAGTTCCCTAAAGATTCATGATCCTGGTCATCACAAGGACACACACCCACACAATTCATAGTGTTTGAGAATTAACCGGAACATATTGTAAAAGGCGAAATGGGACAGGTCATCGTCCTCAGGTTTGTAACACTGAGCAAGCCCTCCTTCCTCCACCCTAGCTACAGTGGCAGCCCTGATGATCTTACTGGAGGTTTGGGTCCCTTGACCTTTAGCAGAAGGTTGGGTTCTAGTTGAGCGGAGAGGCTTTCTCCTGTGAGATGTATCTTGTCTTATTTTCTTTTTTTAATTCATTTAAGAGAGAGGCTTAAAATAACCAAAACTTTGCAAATATATTCTGCATCCACAAAATTGGGTGGGGGTCCCTTTTGCCAGTCTCATATTCTGGTTTTAAAGGAATCCTCATAGGCCTGGAAAGGCTTAGATCTAGTGCTAAAGTGCACATACGCTGTAGATCTATTTTGTTTGGTGCCAGCCTAATAGCTTCTACGTTCTGTGGAAACCTCTGGGAAATGCTCAGCCTGAAACACTTGAGAAGAGACTGTAAAGCATGTAGCCAGAAAGTGTCAGTTGACCTTTCATTTCACTGGCATTTTAAAGCTTTTATAGAGGTTTGCATTGTTTTCTCAAAAGCATTTGTTGTTTGAGCTGCTCATTTTGACAGGTAACTGTCAGTTATTGCCTGCATTGCTAGTCTCACCTTGATTATTTCTGTATGGGTTTGAGTGCTGGGAGCATAACTTATAAGTGTTTCTCTTGAGCCCACACATTGATCCTCTGCCAGTTGAGAGGTGGGAACGACTGGTTTCTAATTGTGGTTTGAAAGGAGGTTGATTTGTTAAATTGGAAAATGTGGAACCTATTCCAGTTGTAAAGCAAAAGCTCTCCCGGTTTATTCTTGGTGCCCAGTGAACATCTTTATCTAACAAGTTACGTTCACACCAGAGAGCTGGACAAGGAGACCTGGACTGAAATTTAAACTTACATTGGTTGTCAGGACAGAATCGACGGAGTTATTTTATTTTAATAATGGAGTTAATGTCAGAGAACATGATGCTAACAGACCCTGTGTAGGTGAAGACTAGTATGCATGTTATTTACACATATAGCCATAGATTATTCTCAGGCATTTTAAGGAAAATATTTTTCTCGTGGGTTTCACATCTTTTTATTTTTCGTCCTTACCTACCCTTTGTCATTGCCCAGAAACCAGCATTCCAGGAGTGGAAGGGGAAAGACATAGATAAAAGGGTGAAGGAGAATGGAGTAAGCAGCCAGAGTGCACAAACATTAACCTAACAGAAGTGACACTCCTAAGGGCAGCTGGGTGAAGTCAGTGGAGCATTTTGATGGTAAAGAGGATTTGGGCCCTAGCCAATTTGGTTCAGTGGTTAGAGTGTCGGCCCTAGGACTGAAGGGTCGTGGCTTGATTCTGGTCAAGGGCACGGACCTCGGCTGTAGGCTCCACCAACTGACATGTCTCACATCGATGTTGTCTCTCCCCCTTCCTTTCACTCTAAGAATCAATGGAAAAAATACCTTCCGGTGAGGATTAACAACAACAAAAAAGGTTTGGCCCATACCTAATGTCATTCAGGGCTTAAAGAGAAATATTCAAAGGGAATCCACACTGCCAGAAGCAAAGGGGACCCCCAGGAAAGAACCAGAAGTGCATATCATAAATCCTGGAGTAATTCCAGGCTGAAGAGAAGGCCACTTTCCTAGTTGCCACTAGCTGGATCTCAGTTAAAACTGAAGCTGACTTACAACCTTTCTGAGAAAGCAGATTTCCAGCTCAGTTTGAGTTTTCATGTGGTTGACAAGTTTTTTAACGGGGGAGGAAAAATAAAATTTAGTGGTTAACATGTGTGTTTTTTTTTTAACTCACCCACATAAGTACTTAATTGCAAAGGTTTCTCCCCCACCCTCAGAATAGAATGGATGAGAAATTTGTTAGTTAACAGATACCTTTAAACCATCGCTATTCTTAACCCATGAACAGACCTCGGCTCTTTCCTTCTTACCATGTCCTAGGAATGTGACCTCTGATGGCAAGATCAGTAACCTGGAGACCAGCATTGGTACTTTGGGCTCATTTTTAAATTTAATTACAACTCTTATCAAGTATTTGATCCCTCGCTACCCTCTCCCCCCAGCCCCCCACTCCCTGGCCAGATTTATTTCAGGAATGTGCTTGTCTGAGACCTATATGGCTGATGTTTCTTAAGTCCATCTTGTGACTTAAAAAGGCAGATTTTTAAATTAAATCTGGATAGATCTGGTTGACTATATAGAACTTACCCAAGAGCAGGCAAATTGCTTCCAAGAGACACAATCCAGAAAAGCAGCCCTGTAGCAGGCATCTCCTGACACCACACAGTATATTCTGGGTAGCTGCTCTGCAGTCATGCAGCCCTGTCATTCTGGGCAGTGTTGTTATTCCTGCAGCATAATTAGCAACTAGTGAGATCATAGTCTGGGGAGATTCTGGCATTACTGAGGCAAAGCAGGGAGGCTTCGTATCGTCACATGTGGCCCTGGCCCCGACAGCATTTCTGTCGAGCAGATTCATATCCTTGGGAACTAAAGTCCAAAGACAGAGGAGATTTGTATCCCAGACTCCTTGGTTGGGTGACAGCTTGTTGAAGACACTGCCTGCCATATTGATGTAACCAGAGTAAATTGTCATTTCTTTCGCTATTTGTTTTCCCTTTGCTGGTTTCTTTACAGAGGGCAAAGGTGGTAAGGCTAAGTTTTCCTTGCACAGAGGAGGACGATAGGCCAGCGGAACCCTATTTTATGGAGCAGTATGAGATTGGGAAGGATTCTGGGGTTTGAAGCCAGTGGAGATTCTAATCTGCAGTCCATTCTTTAGAACCAAAGTTGACCTTTCTAGGAGCCTGGAGAGACATTTTATACTTGTGAAGATCTGGGTAAAGTGTTTCCTTGGCTGCTGATGTACTTTGAAATTGAGAGCCTAGAGCAGTATTTCCCAAAGTGTTTTCCAAGATTCATTTATTTGCCCCCTAAAATACTCTGGAAAACAAAGGGTCCCATATTCAGGTGTGCGGAAACACTGTTCTGTTTTCTCCCACCCTTCCCCATGCTCATTAGCATGTTAAAAGCCTCTAAGAGGTTCTCCCATAAACAGTTTTCTAAACTGTTTTGACACAGCAGTCCTATTTTCATGCAAAAACTATTAATATCCGCTCTAGCTGGTTTCACTCAGTGGCTGGGGCTTTGGCCCTGGACCTGAGTTCCTGGTTTCATTTTGGTCAGGGGCACGTATGTACCTTGGTTGCTTGAATTAGTTTATTTCATATATATACTTTGGGAAATGCCAGGCTGTATCTTCACCAGGAAAAATAATTGATCTAGTCTAGATTTAGGCACACACAGCCTAATTCTGCTTTTGGTACCTAGTCCCTCCTCCTGGCCCTTGGGGCGCTCTCCTGTGTGATCCGAAGAGCAGCTCCTGGTATCCCCAGCTAATGAAGCCTAAGCCCTGAAGGCCTTCCCTCCACTGGGAAAGGTGCTGCGGTTACTTGTCTCATTACACTGAGGGTGACTGAGACTGAAAGGGCTGACGGGAAACACAAGTGGGAGAATGTTGGCCAGAATCAGTAGAGAAGTGACCTAATCTGGAGAAACCAGACATCGGTGCTAGCTCAGGTGCTTTCTCTCTTCAGTCGGAGACCTTTACTCACAGACTTGGGAGGGGTCTGTCTAAGGCCAGGAATGCTGATTCCTCTTTTCCCCTGGGCAGAATCCTCATGCACCTGGCGACCTGGTGGTGAACAGGGGCTTTGGGGCCAACGCGGTGGGCTCCCCAAGGAAACCCCTTTGAAACCAATGGATGCATTCACGGGCTCGGGTCTCAAGAGGAAGTTTGATGATGTGGATGTGGGCTCATCAGTGTCCAACTCCGATGATGAGATCTCCAGCAGTGACAGTGCCGACAGCTGCGACAGCCTCAATCCTCCTACGACTGCCAGCTTCACACGTGAGTGGGCCTCTCCCCCTGTGTACACCCATGTCCCCAAGCATCAGAGCCCGCTGCAGCTCTTGAGAGACACCTCTTCTAACCAGCTTGGGGATTTCCCCTGAATCATAATCTTTCCCACTCTTAGGCTCCGCCTTGTTCCAATATCGTAGACTTAAGTCTGATTTATTCCAGCTGATTTTACTTGTGCTTGGTTTTTGGGTCCCCGGGAACGGGTGAATTAAATTGGAGGAGGAGAGGAGTCCAGGATTTACCCTTCCCCACCAGAGTCCAATAGGGTTCTGTGATATTGTAGCTCTATCAGGACAGAAATCCTTATAGCCTGAACAACTGGGGCAACTCCAGGTTTCTTAATTCTTCTGCCCCAATTAGTTTCTTGGAAAGAACTTTTGATACTATAGATCAGGGGTTGCCAGTGGACCAAATCTGGCTCACTGCCTGCTTTTGTAAATAAAGTTTTATTGGAACACAGCCACACTCATTGTCTGTTATTGCCTTCATGCTACAATGACAGAGTTGAGTAGTTTCAACAGAGCCGTGATGACCTGCAAAACATAAAATACATACTTCCTGGCCCTTTACAGAAATTTGCTCTCCCATTATACAACACTGTGTAATAGAATTTTCTGTTGTGAAAAAACTGTTCTGTATCTGCACTGTCTGCAGCCATTAGCCACACGTGGCTATTGAGCACTTGAAATGAGGTTAGTGTAACTGAGGAGCTGAGTTATAAATGTTATTTCATTTTAATTATATTTAAATTGACACATGTAGCTGCTGTGTTGAACAGTGAAGCTATACAGGTCGTTTTATCCTGAGAAGATTACCTAGAGATCCTCTTCCCAACTGATGTCTAAAAATAGACCTTGTGGTCTGCTTGGGTGAAGTCAGGCACTGTGGACCAGCTGATGCTCAAAGTCCTTTCCACCTATGCATTTATGATTTGAAAATTAGAACTATCTCTAGGTACAGGGAGCACCTTTGGAGAAGAGTTGAGAGCCTAGATCAGCCGTGGGCAAACTACGGCCCACGGGCCGGATCCGGCCCGTTTGAAATGAATAAAACTATTGAAAAAAAAGACCGTACCCTTTTATGTAATGATGTTGACTTTGAATTTATATTAGTTCACACAAACACTCCATCCATGCTTTTGTTCCGGCCCTCCGGTCCAGTTTAAGAACCCATTGTGGCCCTCGAGTCAAAAAGTTTGCCCACCCCTGTTCTAGATGGATGAGAAAGAATAAGGTCCCCAAATAGGCCATCTCTGGGTTAATAAAATGCTCTGTGTTCCCTTCCCAGCCACCTCCATCCTGAAGCGGCAGAAGCAGCTACGGAGGAAGAATGTGCGCTTTGACCAAGTGACTGTGTACTACTTTGCCCGGCGCCAGGGCTTCACCAGTGTGCCCAGCCAGGGGGGTAGCTCCTTGGGCATGGCCCAGCGCCATAACTCTGTACGCAGCTACACACTCTGTGAGTTTGCTCAAGAGCAGGAGGTGAACCATCGAGAGATTCTTCGTGAGCACCTGAAGGAAGAGAAACTCCACGCCAAGAAGATGAAGGTGCCTCGGGGACCGGGGGCTGGTACTTCCCATGTGCCAGTATAAAGTGGGGAACCATCTAGGTCTATTTATCTATTTACTTATTTATTTCCTAATATCTTTTTTTTACTGTTGCCCTTCCTTGGCTTGTAGATTCCAGATCTTTCTAGTGAAAGGCTCAGATATGGATGGAGTCAGATCTCAGTCTAAGACGCTTCTTTTTGTGTCTGGTGGGGTGTCTACCAGAGATAGCAAAATGGCTTCTCTAGAATTTCCTGTCCTTGCCAACCTCAGCAAATTTTTTTATTTTTTAATATATTTTTATTGATTTCAGAGAGGAAGAGAGAGGGAGAGAGATAGAAACATCAATGATGAGTGAGAATCATTGATCTGCTGCCTCCTGCAGGCCTCCCACTGGGTATCGAGCCCGCAACCCGGGCATATGCCCTTGACTGGAATTGAACTTGGGACCCTTTGGTTCATGGGCTGACACTCAATCCACTGAGCCAAACTGGCTAGGGCAGCAAATTTTTTTTAAAGTCTTCAAATGTGAATGAAGACATTCAAGCTTGCCACCCCCAGAACCTGTGGAAGCACAATGTTTCAATGTCTTATCAGATGAATACCTGTTGCCCTCATGCACAGGGCACGTTTGGGATCTTTTGTATTGTCTGAAAGGATCTTGCTATTTCTGTAACCCCCATCACCTCTAGGTGATAGTCTTTCGGACTTAAGCAAGAGCATTACCAAATGGTTATTTCAGTTTGCATAGCACTGTGTCTGCCACTGATGCTGCACCAGCTCAAGTATAGGAGGAGAGCAGGCCTGGAAGAAGGCCCATCTTAGATTGCTATCTTAGCACTGCTGGGTACTCCACAGCCATAGTTTCCCAGTCTGCAAAAATTTCCCCCAGAGTTCCTAGTTCCAAGTTCCAAATTTGGAGGACACTGTTTTAGGCCTGGCCAAGTTTCTTGCAGACCCGTATTGAAATAGGTGGCTGCGTTATTGCCAAGGTGATGGGTGAAATCCTAGTGAGACACACTTCAGTGTGGTCGGGTTGGGGAACTGGTGGCAGAGGATGTAGGTGAACTGGATGTCATTGCTTTCTTCCTTTGAGAGTTCCGTGTCTGCTTTCCTCAGCCTACTCCTAAAGCTGTGCACCTGTTTTTCTAACTAGAATGACATTCAGGCTTCCCTCTCTGTGTCTGAGGAATTCCATCACTGACACCATCACCTCCCTGCCGCTATAGCAACAGCTGGGCAAATAAACACGGTTCTCATCGTTTGCACTGAAGGCTTTCTTCTCTTTTCCCAAGAAGAATCCCTCTCCTAAATCTGATAGAGGAATGATCTGTCAAAACATAACATCCTATGGCCTCCCTAGTAGGAGGTCTAGAGACAAATTGAAGGCTTGAGGTATGGGGTTCCAACTTACTAGCAGATATAGTGAACAGCAACAATGATGGCATCTAAGCCATCTATCTATATCAAGAAAAAAACCCTTACTTTGCCCTTCCCAAGTCCAGTTTATTCTTTTCTTAGAAATTTTTATCATCTTTAGCATTCTACAGGGGAGGCAGTTGGTCTCAAAAATATATATTCTGTATCTCCCATATAGCATCTAATATTTATTTTCCTTTTGGGCTGCCACCAAAAAGAAAGAAAAAAGCTGCTGGTGCCCGGCCGGTGTGGCTCAGTTGGTTGAGTGTGGTCCCGTGCATGGAAAGGTTGCCCATTTGATTCACGGTCAAGGCACATGCCCAGGTTGCAGATTTGGATCCCAGTCAGGGTGTGTATGGGAGCCAACTGGTTGATGTTTCTCTTCCTTCCTCTCGCTCTAAAATCAATTTTTTTTAAAAAAAGCTGCTTTTCATCTGCAGCTTTACTTACCAATAATTTTTCTAATACTTACATTACTTTTTTTTTTTGCCTTTTATCCATATGGAATTCATTATGAATAGTATGAATTGGGAATCTAACTTTATTTTTTTCCAAAAGACTATTCCCTTGTCCCAGTACCATTTAATTATTAGAAGGCTCTTTGTCAGTGATAAGAAATGTCACCCCTGTCATGACATATTAAATTCTCACAGCTACATGGGTTTCTTTCTGTTGCATCTGTAATCTCTTTCCTTTGAGAGGACAGCAGCAGTGAGGGGGATTCGGAAGCCAGCCCTGGTGAATCAGACAGGAGCAGCCGAAGGCCTGTGGAAAGGCCCTTGTGGTTGGCCTGCTGGTGCAGAAATCAGAGAGTAAGGAATCCTCGGAAGCACCACTTTCTCTCATTTGCTGTCCACAACAAACAAACAGTGTGTCGCTTATTCCCCAGGTGTGTTGCGTCACACCTCTCCTAGGAGTTGAGTTGCTCCTTTACCAGCACTGCCCTGTGGCTGTCTGATGAAATAAGCCCAACCCTCCAGTAGCTGGCTTTCATCCTGCCAGCAGCTTCCAGAGCCCTGGGGATTATGAGGCCTCATTTTCTTTACTGGAATTCTCTAGTGAGTTCTCGAACACATCCAGCTATGGATTGTCTTTACCCTGTCCTTCCGCTAAGAGTCCCCTTCCTGGCTGGCTGTCCCTCCTAGCCCAGAGAACCCAGCTCTGCCTGGATTACATATTGCACCCCACCTCACATACAACTTTTCTTTGAAATCAAGTAAAAATGATTAGAGAAAGAGAGCAAGGGCTTACAAGCCATTAATAATTTGCTTATATTTTTCTCTTTCCAATAAAATGCAACTCTCCTGGGTATGAATAGGTAAGTTTTCACATTGGGAATTTAGGTTCATTGACAAAGATCTGGTAGCCTTGTACTACACTTTAATGAAATCTACTTCCCAAAATGTGGTTTTGAGTCCTTTAGGGGGTGCAAATTGAAGGGTGTTTGCAAGCTTATCTATACACCAGGGAACATCCAGCCATTAATACGCCACCTGTGCCGTGGCTACTGTGTGAGCGTGGGCACACAGTTGTGGGACCGTGCTACCCCAGAGGCTCCCTGTGCGGGGGCTCGTGCTGGTAACGCTGTAGGCTAATCTCTCCTTCCGGTCTCTCGGCAGCTGACCAAGAATGGGACGGTGGAGTCGGTGGAGGCCGATGGCCTGACGCTGGATGATGTGTCCGACGAAGACATCGATGTGGAAAACGTGGAGGTGGACGATTACTTCTTCCTACAGCCTCTGCCTACCAAACGGCGACGGGCCCTGCTGAGGGCGTCTGGGGTCCACCGCATTGATGCCGAAGAGAAGCAAGAACTTCGAGCCATCCGCCTGTCACGGGAAGAGTGTGGGTGTGACTGTCGGCTGTACTGTGACCCAGAAGCGTGTGCCTGTAGCCAAGCTGGGATTAAATGCCAGGTCAGTCCAAGTCAGGCCTGAGACGGTGTACCGGCACTAGAGTCAGGGTGTGTGGCGTGGGTGCCAATGAACCTGGAAGGCTACCCATCAAAGGGTGGCTTCCCTGTGACTGAGCACTCCCCAGTACCACAGCCCTCCTCCACCAGCCAAGGACACCAGCACGACAGGATTCAGGCTGGGAGGCCTGTCGTCTTGTCTGTGTTTTATACCTTGGGGCTGATAAGAAACAGCTGTCAGCAAATGGAGGCACAGGGGTTAGAAGTTAACACTTAGTAGCCGTTTCCTAAATATTGATTGGTTCCTTGAGATAAAAGGAAGCAGAAACATGAGGTAGGCCTTTAGATTTTATCTTGCAAACACTTATTCACAGTGCCTTCTCTCCACGTCTTTAAAAATCAAAACAGTTCTTGGATGCTGTCATTCAGGATCACATTGGGCCTGGCAGAGCTTAAATTCCTAGTGTCCATAAAGAAAGCATCATTCCCTCAGCCGGCCCATCGTCTCCCAGCCGGCCCGTTGATGGACAGCTTGGAAGACACATTCAATTGAAAACAGCAGTACCATCCCAAAGATTGGAAGGTATATGGGACTTGTACACTGAGGATGTGGGTGCTGAGTCCTTGTAGTTGGACTTCTGACCAACCTTTTCTTTCTGGACCTAGCCAAATACTGCTTGTCAAACTGAAGTCCCATAATGAATCCGTCTGTGATCCACAGACCTGAGGACAGCCCTGATAATTAGACTGTTCCTAAGAGAGTTCTTAAGGTTGACATTATAGAAGACATTGTATATTTGTACATAGCAGCTTACTCGTGTTTTAATTTTATTTTTGCTATTTTCCCCCCTTTTGGGGATCCAAAAGAGAAAAGGAAATAGAGAGCATCTCCTTTCTAGATGGTCTTGTTCTGTAACTTAGTTGTCTTGGTAACTTCTTCAGAAACAAACTGGTCAACCATCAGGAAAAATGAAGCTGGTAATGAAAAGCTGGCTCTGTTATTTTGTTAGGGGTCCTTTTGCTTAGTTTCCCAAGAATGAATTTCTTTGGATTAGCTGGGACTTCTACTCCCTTCCCACGCCTGTCATCACAGAAAACAGGAGGCTTAGGCCCCAGCATTTTGTTTTCTCAGTAAACCAGGTAAGTCTGGAAAAGTTTTTGAGGCACGTAAGTTTCTTCTGCTCTGAGACGTGTTGGCATTTAGAGAGGCATCTCTGGGCTTCTGAACTTGGAAAGGCCCTTTGATATAATATTTGTCTACTTTTTGTTTAGAAGAGAAAACGAAGCCCTAGTCAGTGATGGCGAACCTTTTGAGCTCGGCGTGTCAGCATTTTGAAAAACCCTAACTTAACTCTGGTGCCGTGTCACATATAGACATTTTTTGATATTTGCAACCATAGTAAAACAAAGACTTATATTTCTGATATTTATTTTATATATTTAAATGCCATTTAAGAAAGAAAAATCAACCAAAAAAATGAGTTCGCGTGTCACCTCTGACACGCGTGTCATAGGTTTGCCATCACTGCCCTATAGTGAAGCGAGGCTGCACTGGAAACACAAGTAGTCTGATAACTACTGTCTGTGCTGTGCTATGTGCTAGCTCACACTGCATTTTATTTTGAATTGGCTGTGTTTCTTTTTTGTTTTTTCTTTAAAATACATTTTATTGATTTTTACAGAGAGGAAGGGAGAGGGATAGAGTGTTAGAAACATAGATGATGGATGAGACAGAAACATCCATTAGCTGCCTTCTGCACGCCCCCTACTGGGGATCGAACCTGCAACCAAGGTACTCGCCAGAATCCAACCCAGGACCCTTCAGTCCGCAGGCCGACGCTCTATCCACTGAGCCAAACCTATTAGGGCTGGCTGTGTCTCTTGTAAGAAGACCACAAATCCCACCTGCTTGTTTTGCCAGCTAAAGTCTCCTGTCGCCATTGTTAAACTGATGGTCTCCTCTTGCCTCAATCTCCTTGTCCCCATCCCAGGTGGATCGCATGTCCTTCCCATGTGGCTGCTCCCGGGATGGCTGTGGGAACATGGCTGGGCGCATCGAATTTAATCCGATCAGAGTTCGGACGCATTACCTCCACACCATCATGAAGCTGGAGCTGGAGAGCAAGCGGCAGGTGAGCCGCCCGCCCGCCCCAGAGGAGGAGCCCTCGCCCACCGCCAGCGGCAGCCCGACAGGAGCCCAGGGCTCCGAGACACAGGACTTCCAGGAGTTCATTGCTGAGAATGAGACCGCAGTGATGCACCTACAGAGTGCGGAGGAACTGGAGCGGCTCAAGGCAGAGGAAGACTCCAGTGGCTCTAGCGCCAGCATGGACTCCAGCATAGAGAGCCTGGGCGTGTGTATCCTGGAGGAGCCCCTGGCTGTTCCTGAGGAGCTGTGCCCAGGCCTGACGGCTCCCATTCTCATCCAGGCTCAGCTGACCCCAGGCTCCTCCGTCCTGTGTTTCGCTGAGAACGCGGACCACCCAACGGCCTCAGCAGCGACCAGCCCATCCTACTTGAACAGCGGGCCCCTGGTCTATTACCAGGTGGAGCAGAGGCCAGTCCTGGGGGTGAAAGGAGAGCCTAGTTCAGGAGAAGCCCCACCCTCTCTCCCCAAGGAGAAGGATCTCAATGTCTTCTCTGTCCCCGTTACCTCACTGGTGGCTTGTAGCCCCACAGACCCAGCCCTGTGTCAGCCAGAGGCAGGGAAGGCATCCACTCTAGAAGCACTGGTGCCTGAAGATTGTGTCCCCGAGGTGCGGGAGAATGAAGACTTCCGCCCCTCGTGGTCGCCCTCAAACCTCCCCTTCGGCACGGACAGCGAGGAGGGCTGTGTGGTAGAGAAAACCTCACAGCCCGGCGAGGACCGACCCCCTGAAGATTCGTCCCTGGACCTCCCTCTGGCAGTGTGATGCGGGCATGCAGATTCTGCCTCTTACCCGTTCTCTATTTATTCCCTTATTTTATCTAACACCATTTCAGAACAAAACTGTAGAAGCAGCTGCTGCTCCCATGTTATTTTATTGGGGTCTTGGGGGGGGGGCGGGGGGGAAAGGATTGTTTATACAGTATTTTTTAAAGGTAAACAGAACCAAGGAGACCAGCCCCAGCTTGGTCTGGGGACAGTCTTGGGCAGAGAAGGCCACACAGTGCTGAATACTGTTTTCTGGGCCATTGGAACAAAGAACTAGGATCTCATAGGAGACACTAGGTAATTCAAGCAGCTATTCTTTTCACAGGGATCAGAATACATAATTTGAACAGCGCGGCAAAGCCCCTCTCCTAAGCTCCAGGCGGATACAAGCTCCTTTTTCTCAGTGATTACTGATATCCCATTTTGGTGTGTTATCCAGTTGGAAATGTCACCTGGAGAGGAGGGGGGAGAAGGGTCTCCACTTCTGTACAAAACCAGGATTTTAAAAAATTTAATCTGCCTTCCCCAGCCCCCTATTTGATAAATAAGTTAATATTTGACATGTTTGGTGTTCTCTGACCTGTTCCCCACACTGGGGATTCCTGGTCTGTAACTTGAATTGTTTTTCTCATGTTCTTAGGTACTAGAGTTTAACTTGTCTGTCTCCCTACCCCCCGCCCCGCCACACACACACCCCCCTCCTTCCTTTGAAGGAAAAGAGCTATATTGGCTGGGGATGTGGTATAAAGAGCTTGTGTCTTCTGTGTGCGTCCGACAGTAGCTGTCGGGCAGCTCTAGGCTGAGCTCGCACATCCCATGGGAGGCACATGGAGCGTGAAATGTGTCCAAAGGAGGCAGCAGGAAGTTTGCTGTCTGGAAAGATGAGGACTTCGTGCCATGCTTACGGTCACCCAGGTGTTCCCCGCCTTGGGGAGATTTGAGCTTTAAAGGAATATAGGATGTGGCATTCTAAGGTCACCAGGTTTTTTTTTGTTTTTTGTTTCTATATCCTTGGTGGTCCTTGGATATACAGGGTTGGAGAGTTCTTATACTATTCTAGTTCACTCCCAAGAATTGCAAATATTAGACTGCTCCATCTTGATATCTGAAAATCAGAAGTCAAATCAATTGCTAAATGCTACATATAACTCCCAGGTTCCAAAGAAGTCAAGTTCTGATGATAAAGCTTTGAGGTCTAGAGCAGGACTCCAGTTCAGTTCTTGCCTCCATCTGGGGACGCCTTCCCTTTTCCTCTCATGTCCACCTATGTTCCTGGATGTGCTCCATTGACCACCACTGAACTCACTAGCAAAGCTGTCCCTGTCTCTGTTTTAAAGTGGCGGCGGCAGGAAACAGCACCCTGGCATCCCTTATACCATGCTTTGCCTCTGGAAAGAACAAAGTGAAAATGTTTTTGGTGGGGGAGATAACTATTCCTACTTATCTCCATCATAAAGCCTTTTCTTGTGGGATATTATAGCCCTGGTGTCTTAAAGCAACCTTCATGTATATCAGTAGCATTTTACCTATAAAATCGCTAAACTGAGCCTTCTAGGCCTTTTACTTAACAGATACATCTTTTGACCCATTCTTCCTCCCGTTGGTTTTTTGCAGGGTTTAGAGAGGTCTTCAGTATATAGGTCCTTAGCACTCTCCATCCTCTAGCCTCACAAGACAGAGCTGAGAGCCTTAGGTACTGAGACTAGATGCTGTCCCAAGCTGAGCTGCTGCACTCCCTTAGACTGGTCCCCTCAAATACAAGACTGAAGCTGAATTGGGAATAGGACTCAATGGAGAATCTTTCTGAAAGTTTGTGTTGAAAGGGGAGGGTGAGCGCTGTACATTCCCTCTGTAGGAAGAATTCCTAATCTAGGAAGTGATTCCAGGTGCTCAATAAGAGACTCATTATTAGCCTTTGGGATCAAAACAAGAATTTGAATCTATTAAACTCATTGCCAACCCCCAAAATAATGATTTTTCTGAAGAAACTAGTTTCTTAATCTAAATTCTACATTAACCCTATAATTTTGATTCACACTGATTCCAAGCTTTTAAATGCTAAGTGTCGGCATTTAGCATTAACTGTCTTGTTAAGCAAAGGGCCTTTTCTACAATCTCGTCCATCTCATTTCTGGTGCTACTCGAGTTGGACACAATTAGAGCTCATGGTTGCTAGAAAAGCTAGGCCTCTGATCACAGAAGCAGATAGCTTCAACCCCACTCAGTCCAGGCCTAGATAAATTACTTTTTATCGCAACTCATTCCTTTCTCACTGTATACAGGTAGTATTTTCAATGTGAATCCAAAGCTTGTCTGGTTCTCTGGAAACATTTTTTTTTTTTTGCCTTTCAGGTCCTTCACATTGTGATAATGTATTTAAAGAGAATATTTAAATGTAATATTAAAGAAATATTCAAAAGAATGGTGTGTTACTCTTGATCTTGGCAGACCACAATCCAGTTACTTGTTAGAAAAAGGATGCCTCTCCAGCCTTCTATATAAAATTAATTAGGTCAGTTAGGGATTAATGTCAACAACAGAGGTGTTTTATGATGGAAAAACAGAATGTTCTCTTTGGAGCATCAAGAGCTTGACTTACCTCCTATGTGCTTATGCACCTCATCGGCTGAAACAGCCTTCGTCCTGCCCTGCTGAAGCTTTCCCTGTCTGTAGTCCCCACTCTTGGGGCCCAGTTTCTAATTTCATTGCTTTCTATGTGTATGTACAATTTCCTATTCCTAGTTAGCATTTAAAATCCAGCAAGAGGATCAACTCAAATCAGTTCATAACTTCCATCCCATCAGAAAGTTCTATTCCAACCAATTCTCTCCCCAATAGTCAGGTTATGAGTCTCGTAAAGGAGCCTTAGCAAAATGATTAAAGTATGCGTAAGTGAATTTCCAGCCACTGATTTCAGACAGTCTTTACTTGGGTTAAAAACAGGGCTTCATGCATTTACAGTAAGTTACCACAGGCCACTGATGTACCTTCACAGACAAAAGCTAAGCCCAACCTACTATCTTGATGCAGATCTTTCCTGGTTTCCTGGGCGGGTTAGTACTGTACAGGTTTGATCCATGGCCAAAGGCAGCCATTTTCAGTTAAAATTGGATGGCTGCGACACAATGGAGGTAGCGAAGAGTTTAAGATCCACAGGTTGTGGCACAGACCAGAAATTAAGACAAGGGTGTGAAGGCTATAAATAATTGGGTAAGCAGTCAAGAAGGACTTGTTCCTTGTATCTTGTCCATTAGAATGTTCCCATACGTTATTCACTAAAAAAAAGTAAAGGTGGTAAAAGGATTTGAAAAGGAAAGAGGTTAACCCATTGACGGGGACAAAAAAATTCCTATTTTTGGTCATCTCAGGGTTGAGGGGAGCATCCTAGTGCATGCGTGTAAGTGCTCTAGTTTAAGTAGTGCTGTTCCCCTCACCGGCCAGAAATGGCTTGAACAAAAACAGCTCAAAAGACTATGGCAGTGAATAAGTCCTAGGCCAAATGAGAATTCCCACCTGGGCCAAAGCTCACTTCCCAGAATCTGAAATTAGCATATTACAGTAACAGCCTAGTACAGTGGCTGCTTCCAGTGTCACTTAATTCCAAGGAAGTTGGGATGAAGCTCCCAAGGGCTACCCCTGGTAAGAGGTTTGTTTCAGTTCCAGCTCCCACGAGTGTACACACTGAAGCTCGTGGCACCAGCTCCTCGGCCTCACACGCTAACGGCATCCAGACTCTGCCGACAAGTGCTGTTTGGTCCCACGCTGCTGGACTGTGACGGCAGGACAATGCCATCGCTCCATGCTCACTCAGCGCCTTGTCCCAATGTAGTTGGTGGAAAGCAGGACCACGTTGTGTAGCAAAAGAGACAGCTCAGCTTCTGAAAACACCACCAGTGTTAATGGTCTGGCCAGGGAACAGTCTGCCTTCTAACTGCCTTGGTTTACAGGTCTTGAAACTGGAGGTGGGAAGCCCAGTGAGGGAAGTATGACGTTAAGGGGTTGTTCTCAAGTTCCCCTTCTTCATCCAGTATCTGCATGTGTGCTTTCCTTTCCTTCCACCACATATGCCTACCTACTCATCCTCATTTCTGGACTCTCCTGTGACGGCAGTAGAAAATGCAGAGATAGTAATGGTACTAAACATCACTGCCACCCTTGGGGTTCTTCTGGTAGAAGCTGGTGCTCTGGGGACATTTCTCAGCTCTACGGAGATTAGCAGGCCTACCCTCATATTCACAGGCTTAAAAAACATCAAGGCCTACCTAGCCAAAGGTTCCAAACAGGGGACCCACCAGCCTAACACCTACCCTTAGAAACTTTCTGATCAGCCAGCTGAGCGGTTTTGTTTTTATTTTGAATTTAGACTAGTACTTCTCAACTAGGACAATTTGGCTCTCCCCTCAACTGGGACAACTGGCAATGTCTGGAGACACTTTGGGTTGTCAGAACTGGGGCGAGGGGGTACTACTGGCATCAAGTGGCTATAGGCCAGGAATGTTGCTAAACATGCGATAATGCACGGGACAACCCTCAGGATAAAGCTTCATTCAGTAAGGCCAAGGTTGAGAAACTGCTTTAGACAAGCATGTGCTCATGCTCGTGCTCCCACAATCCCCACTACTCACTCCATCTTGCATGGTCCACTCCGTGACCTGCTTGTAGGCTAATGAGTCTGTGCCTTTCATTTAGACATACAGGTAGATAAGGGTCTCACAGTACTCAATAATTAACTCCAAAATAATCTTCAAATAAAATACAAAAATGACTTGGATTTTGGTTATGCAATAGGGGTTTGTCTAACCTTTCAGGTTGCAGGAAATCTGCAGCCATTCTGCCAGCCAAGTTCGACACCGCTCTTCAGCAATAAGGGTAGAATTCAAGCCACGAAGATAACAAGCCTGTAACACTCAGAAGAGAAAGGTCCTTAATAATCAGAGCGAGTATGCCAAGGAGTGTAAACCTACAACCCCAAATCTCCTTTAAGTTACAACCTCATCCCAAGAGAATGGCATTCTCCATGGCAATCTGAACTATGATGACAAGCAAAGAGGCCTATATAATCTAAAACAGTAGTTCTAAAGTATAATGCCTTTTTTTTTTTTAATCCTCACCCAAGGATATTTTCTCCATTGAGTTTTTTAGAGAGTGGAAGGGAGGAAGTGGACGGGAGAGAGAGAGAAACATCGACGTGAGAGACACATCAGTTGGCTGCCTTCTGCACGCGCCCCGACCTGGGCTGGGGATTGAGGCTGCAATCAAGGTATGTGCCTTCAATCCATGGGCCGGTGCTCTAACCACTAAGCAAAATCGGCCAGGACTAATGTCCTTGGTTTTTGGTGTGTTTTTTTTTAAATATATTTTTTTATTGATTTCAGAGAGGAAGGGATAGGGAGAGATAGATTGAAACATCTATGATGAAAGAGAATCACTGATCAGCTGCTTCCTGCACGCCTCCTACTGGGGGGCATGTGCCCTTGACTAGAATCGAACCTGGAACCCTTCAGTCTGCAGGCTGGTGCTCCATCAACTGAGCCAAACCGGCTAGGGCCGTGGTCGGCATATTAACAGGCCTTCAAAGGGTCCTCGTGGCTGAGTGCCATAGAAGCCAGGGACTGTCCTGGGGCCCTGAATATTCCAACCCGTGCAGCACAGGCTGGGGTCAGGCACATACTTTGAAGGCCTGGTCCTGCTGGTGTGCCTGGCCCCGAGGAGTCCTGGAATGGAGAGGGTGCAGGCTAGGATAAGGGACCCCTCTCCTGTGCGTGAATTTTGTGCACTGGGCCTCTTGTCTATAGGCCGTGGTCGCAAACTCATTCGTCAACAGAGCCAAATATCAACAGTAAAACGATTGAAATTTCTTTTGAGAGCCCAATTTTTTAAACTTAAACTATATAGGTAGGTACATGGTTATTAACTTAATTAGGGTTCTCCTAAGGCTTAGGAGCCACACTCAAGGGGCCAAAGAGCCGCAGTTTGCCGGCCACAGGGCTAGGGCACTGTCCTTGATTTGTGAAGGACCAGAAGAAAAGAAACATAAACTATAATGAGTGTGGACAATTCCTTCCCAGTAGTTAAGTTCACTGAGGGGGGAAAAAAGACCTAGAAATGAGGTAAGAGAATAAAGAGCTTGGATTTTGCTATAACAAGCTCTCTGTAAGCTCCCAGTCCTGAAAACTCAAAAGTCCACCAAGAATTGAGGGTTGATACTGCAATGAAGCTCTTACCGATTGCACTTCCTGATCAGTCAGCTGGTTAATCCCCAGCTTTGCCAAAGCCTTGTCTAGCTGATGAATCACAGTGGTATGAGTCTTTAAACGATGTCTTAACAAGGGAGAAGGCAGGTAAGTTGTGAGAAGCATGGCTCGACTCAAGGCTTTCTGTGATATTAACAACACAGGAGGAGCAAGTCAACAGAGTAGTGTTACGGCAAGCAAAGACCTGAAGCTGTGGACAAGAGAAAGCCTTAGAGTACTCACAATTTGCGAAGCATGGAGTTGATTCATGCCCAGAGGATGGTTAGAGAAACTCTTTCTCAGAGCTAGGATCTCATGTACTGCTGGGTGGGTACCACGCTGTATCTTGGGAGAGGTAAGAGATTGGTGGATGTTAACAAAGTCCTGACTAGCCTTCCTATCTGATTTTCATGCACACTGCATCTAACAAGATTCCTAGTTTGGAACAAGGGTTAACTGGGGGAATACCTTGGTGCACAGCTCTGTCATATGCCACCGGAGTCCTTCATCAGAAATGAGAGGGGTAACTTTTTCCAAATAAGAAAGGATTTCCGGGTGGGACTTTTTCCGGATATCGTGATAGATATGTAAGAAATCAATCTGTTGCTTTGGGGTCCAGAAATGTCTGATCAGCAGTTGCCTAGGAAACAGGTACCTGAAAGGAAAGGAACAACACAGTCATTGCTGACACTGGCATCTTTCAAAGTGAACAAAGAGAGCATTTGACAGACATGAATAATAAAGAGATGGAGACACTGCTTGGCTAACACACTGTCTCAGACCAAGGTCTAAGATACACTGAAGTACAATTTCAAGCAACATTACTGAGGCTCTGTGAAAGGAAGTAGTAGTGGAAGAAGCACACATGCAGCAATCAGATAAAATGACTCTTTTGAACTAAAGCAAGTGAAGAACATATTTTGGACAGAATTACAGAGCTGGACATGGTATGTAATGTTGACAGCTTCAAACAGTAACACAGTCCTTAGGTGTATATAAAATGGTAAAGACAAATTTGCTTTTAATTAATTTCTCTATCTGTGAGGTGGGTTTAAAACATGGCCATAGCCCTAGCAGGTCTGGCTCAGTGCATAGAGCATAGGCCTGTGACCTGCTCCAGCTGGTCCGACGTGGGGCCCCACATTAGGAATCGTCAGAATCTCCCAGGCTCTTACATTCCACTGGGCAGCTCCAGTCGAGAACATTGTCCTTCACTCAAGTCAGATGCTTTCAAGATTATATAGACTCACCCCAGCCGGTTTGGCTCAGTGGATAGAGCATTGGCCTGTGGACTGAATGGTCCCGGGTTCAATTCTGGTCAAGGGCACATGCCCGGGTTGCAGGCTTGATCCCCAGTAGGGGGGCATTCAGGAGGCAGCCAATCAATGATTCTCTCTCATCATTGATGTTTCTATCTCTCTCTCCCTTCCTCTCTGAAATCAATAAAAATATGTTAAAAAACAAAACAAAAAACATGGCCACAAATTCTCTGGCACTCCTCTTATTGAGAAATGTCCCTTTTTAAAATCTGGGTAACTGACTCAACCAGTAGAAGAGAGCAGAAGTGAGTCTTGACCTCCAAGCCTAGGTTATAAAAGGCCATGCAGATTCTTATTGCTGACACACTCACTCTTAGACCAGCAGTCTGGTATCCCCCGAGGAGTCCCAGATTGGAGAGGGTGCAGGCAGGGCGGAGGGGGCCCCTCTCCCATACATGAATTTCGTGCACTGGGCCTCTAGTTATTAATAACGAACTACAGCATTCACTAATGACTGATCACTATACTCGTGTTGCATTCATTTTCCTTACACGCCTAAAGCACAAGGCGCACCATTTCTCTCCACTAATACTAACAGCAAATATTTTAGCAGCTGATTGCCATGTCATTAGTCTTGTACTGCCTTGTTTGTTGTGCTCTACAGGAAATATTTCGCTTTCAGACAACAAGAAA